AAAAAAAAAAAAAACAATATGGGAAATGACTCCGTTTGGTATTTAGAAATGGGAACAACAATGGAAGACAAGACAAGACAAGCCCATCAGGGGAGCAGTGGGGTAGTAACAGTAACGTTTGGACGCTTGCAATCACACATGCAGATGCTTCTTGAGTCTTTAACAAGACGTTGTGTTCTTCGTGTGTGAAGCTTGATGTTTGTTAATTTACCAGCCATCTGTTAACAGTTAACAACATACACACACACACATGCCAAATAAACAACATATCAGTAGTAGGTAAAGAAAGAATTATAATGTCTAGAAGTAGCATCAGCATACCATTCTCCAAACTAAGTCCTCTGGTCCCAAAGGTTGAGCAGGATGGGAGTATAAGAAATGTCTTGTATACTGTCATATCATATGTTACAAAAATATCAACATTAAATTCAGGAACAAAAGGAAAATTACTTATACATCTTTTTGACTGACTGTCTTGCACATAGAGAGGTCAAATTTGGGATGGGAGATTACAATTATGAAATCTGACAATGTCCAAGGATCTAAATTTCAGCCTCAGGAATGGTGGATGTTGCAGAAAGAAAAATCAAATTGTGTGATAGATTTTACCATGCTCTGTGTAACTGTTGACTAATCAATCCTCTTCCAGATGCCACACGGGTTATATATATGATTTCAAAATAAGTTAATGGTGTTTGACATATAATGTACTTTTTTTCAGTATATCAACAAATTTTGCAGAAAACTCAAATGTTATATAACATGCTTCTAAACTAGCATTTACAATAGTCACATACCTTAGCCAAGTTATCTTGCATTTCTTTTATCTGAGTAGGTTTAATACTTCTCAGGTAAGCCAAAAGCCAGCCTGGCTGCACAGCATCACTTGAAGAAACAAATATAGACATCTGCAACAACTCATTCAATTCAAATTTCAACAACACTCTTTCTCATTACTACTTACTAGTTTACTACTGCTCATTGATTACCAAAATGGCATGATTACCTTACGATAATCAAGTATTCCTTCAAAAGGAAGCTCCAATTCATCACTAACTATAACAGGTATGCACCCACTAACAATCGCATCAAACAATCTAGCAGATGATGGAGTATCACCAGCTGGACTCAAACAGAACACAGACCTGCATACCAAACAACAAAAAACTCATCACTTTACTAAAAAAAAAAAAAAAAAAAAAAAAAAAAAAAAACACAGCCCAAGTGAAAAACACATGATTCAGAAACATGAGTTTTACTTGCGCATGCCACTTTGTGCTGCTATTTTCCCTGCCTCCCCAGCACTTCCCTCTTCAATAATAACATCATCAGCACTACCAAGTTCTGACCCAAGTTTTGACCTTATTTTCCCTCCCTAAAAATCAACATATTAGAATGAAATCTGATTTTCCCTCAATGATTACAAAATTAAAACATACAGCGTTTCTTTTAAGCCTCCCACGAAAGTATAGCAGTGTGGTTCTTCTTGGTGCACTTTCTGATAAGCATTTGGCATCACATAAATCAAGATTGGGAACATATGGAAGTATTAAATCTTTCTCAAGTGAAACTTGGCCAGGTTTGTACCTGAAATTGTTGATATAGTTAGTTAAAGGTCACAAAATGGGATTCATAAATTCGATGAATGTATAGTTATAAGAGTAAAAAAAGATACCAGTTCCCTGTGGAATCCATATCTGGTAAAAGCCATATTGCATTCTTCACAAATTTGCGAACAGATTTGAAGGACCATGGATGATGAATTGGAAATATGTGATCTCTTCCTTCTGATCGTTTCCATGCAGGCTGATCAGTAACCCACTTCAAAGCTTCCTGAAATCATATGTTACAGTAAATTTAGCAAAAAATGGAGGTCAGTTAGAGAGAGAACATATGAAAGAAATAGCTATGAAAGCTTGAATACACACTCACACCCTGTAAAGCGTCTTGCATTGTTGTTTCTCCAACAAGAAGAAGCTGATAGTTGTGAAAAATGGAACATAGAAAAGATCAGCATCCTCCTTCCGATGAACTCTTACAACGCTTTTCAAAAGCCTTTCGGATTCTGGAGCAATCAAATCCGCCCACAGCCAGTAGTCAATTGAGTGCTGCAGAGATCGACAATCAAGATAAAACAGGTTGATACGGATAATAAGATTGCATTTTTGGGAAAATAAAGAATCTACCTGTTCGATAAGCCGGTGAACAGGGCTTCCGTTAGAGGTGAGATTGAAGGTTTCTTTGTAAGTACTTTGGAATAACTGAAGCATATCATAAGTGAATTTGGCTGGCATCTCGTAAACATAAACCCTAACAGGCGGAGAACAGAATGAACTTTGTTCATCATCGTAAAGCCTAGCAGTCTCTGTTTTCCAGATGAGATCATCTAGTTTCCTCACTTGCTGCTGTTCTTCAGTCTCCGGATCACTGACTGTATCTTCGGGAAGATGACGAGATCCCGAAATGCTCCACTTTTTCAAGAATATTTCAAGTGAATCGACGAAAGAATAATGAACATTAGGGTAAAGATGCGGTTGATTTGTATTGGAAGTACGTAAGAAGTTGGGTTTAGTCGGGGAAGAGGGAGAAGTGGTGAAGATGTAAAAAAGGAGAAAGAAACAGGTGAGGGAGACGATGACTAGAAGGAATGGAGATCTTGTTATTCTGGTAATAGGGTTCATTGAGGAAGAAGAGTAGTGCCTACCACCAACCATTTTGCCCATCAAAGAAGAAACACATAAAGGAATTGAAGAATTAATCGATGCTAAAATCTTGAATCTTGAGAACTAACCCCATGAAACTGAAGACTGAAGTAGCAGAGATCAAGAAATCTTGAACCTGTTTACAAATAAGCAAGACTGGTGTTCTCGAGTGTCGACCACTAAATTTACACGAGCTCAAGTATTGCTGGTGATGCTAAACTGGGGGTAGCAAATTTTTTATGAAGTCGATCATTTTTTTTCTAGGGTATGGGTCAGCATTTGGATCTTTGGATAGGACCGGAGCCTCAACAATCCAGTCCAAGGTACCACTTTCTGTAAAACCGGTTCGATTCAAGAGTCGATCTAGTCCGATTCGGTCCAAATACTCATCCTTACGATCGTAATAGAGAAACTAACTTTCAGTAGGCTTCAACGAGTTGCACCATATGTATCTCATTCTTTATGACATGTTTCTTCACATGTTCATATGATATCCTACATGGGATGATAACTAATGAGGTATTCTCATACGTTGATATGTCACTTGTCTTGATTTTAATTTGGTAGCCGACCATATAATACCATTTAATAGAAACAAATCAATAGTATTGTACTTTTAATATAATTATAGAAGTTTTCAAGTTATTTTAATCCTATGATTATATGAATTCCTCTTGAGTTCATTCACATTTTACTTGAAACAAAAACCACCTCTTTAACAACTGCAAGTTCATCTTCAAAATCCGGGTTTAATTTGACATGACAAAACTTGTAGTTTTTAATTAACTGGTTTCTTCGGTAACAAAAAAAAAAAAAAAAAAAAAAAAAAAAAAAATCTAAGCATGTAAGAAGGAATGTCAATTTGAAAAGAACTACAAACTCATTTGTAGAAAAATGGTCAAAATTGACAATCAAATAATTAGGGAAGTCTTTAAACTTTTTTTTCTGAACATTTTTTTTTTGTCTTGGACATGCAACTTTAAGGTGAGATGAATCAATCACAAAGAATCTCGTTATTTGTTTTGAGATATAAGAACCGAAGCCAAAGACATATTCTTCGAGAAAACTAAGACACCAACATTATTTGATCGATCCGTGAATTAAGTTATTGATATAAGTGATGGACGAGCCACATACGAGACATCTCATTGTCGATTGTCTCATGTGTGAACAAAACTTGAAGAAACCAGTCATAATGACTGAATGAATACAAACTAAGAACTAAATTACCATATCAAGTTATTTTTCTTTTCTTAACCTGGAGTAGCCTGTTATAAGGATTGAATGTGTATATGAACAAGTTCAAGGACTTATTTGAAAAAAAAAAAAAAACTAAATATGTACAAACTTAAAACTATGTTACCATATTAAGTCATTTTCCTTTTTAATTGATTTATTCTTATACCTCCAACTATGGGTCAATATAACCGATTATAATGTATATTACTTTTACGAATTATTTTTTGTTTAAATGGATTTTGTTAGAATTGACATCTCTGACAGTTATCTATCATTTTAATTATACATTCTAATTTCTTAAAATCATTATTACATTTAAAATATACCAATTTTACTTGTTATCAACCATCTAGTGGAATTTTTTTATTAGATATTGCATATTTATGGCCAAGATCATTGAGGTATGCGATCTATAACTCATCACATTTAGATGGTATGGTATCCTTAATAGGAGTCTCCAAACATATATAGCAAAAATGAGCTCAAACTATCAATATAAAACTTGTCAATTAAAATGATATATATGTATATGTTGCCCATATATATCGTTAAACTCACCGAAGATGCCAACTCATACCCAAAACGGGCTACAGAGATGATAAAATGTTATATTTAAATCAGTTTTATAAGCTTCAAGGTGATATTGTTTAAATTAAAATAAAATGACATTGATCAATCGTATATATTAGACATAGTTTTATTCTTTTTCAGGTCCTTTCAAGCAAATCATAATTCAACTTTACATAACTCGGAAAGGGATCGGGATACCATTCCCATTTGTGTTCGAGTGTTATTAAACATACAATATCTTAATACATGCATCTCATATATCACAAGTGGTATCTTTGGTATCAAAGATATGGTAGGAGTACAAAACTAGTATCATGTTGGTTTGACAAGGAAACGAACATTACTCAATGAAGGTGTGCATGACTCTCCTTTCGAGACAACATTTTAAAGGTGTGTAGCAGAGGATGCCATCAAAACTCCACTAGTCAAGCATGCTCGTGCAAAAGAAGTACCATAATGGTTGAACATGTTGCTTATAACATACAATATCTTGGTATGTAAACGATGTTACAAACAATCCAAATTCACAAGTAGATAACTAGTTTTCATCATAGCACATTACAAGGGTAATAATACCCTAACATTTACGCAACAAACAGGAACTTGCATCAGCGATTAGGAAACTTTGGGCTCTAACTTGAAACAACAAAGGTGAGAATATGCCAACAGATTGTCACATAACTTCTTTTGTTTCTATAGAGTAAAAATCTAGCAACCGTTCAAACCACAACCAACTTGTTTTTAACACAAAATGCTTGTAGAAATAGTGGTAAAGCTACACATATAATCTTTCCCAAACCAAAATATAAAAATAAAAGAAGACACAAAATAAGAATCCAAATTCATGTTCATAAAGACCAGAGTGTGACAAAGTAATGTGCTATATAACCCTAAAAACTAATAAGATCATCTTTGGGCTTTTGATCCTTTCTTGGTGAAGCAGAGGTACCAGATTTCTTCCCAAAGATCATCTCATCAAGATCATCCATCATATCATCATTGTTGTTGTTGTTGCTGCTGTTGTTCCCACGAGACCCTGCAGGCTTTCTAATCAAAGATTCTTCTTTCCCCACATGAGATGGCTCATCAGGCTCTGCAGCAACAGCAATCATAGCAGGTTCTGGTTCCCGTTGCACCTCATTAGGTTTCTTCATTTCTTCATACTTTGACAAAACCTTCTGGATCTCATCATTCACACTCAAAGCCTCAAACAACAACGCCTCATCATCTCCACCTGTCTCCACCATTCTTTGAACAGTTAGCTGTGATTGGCGACATTGCAGCACAAGTGTCGAGGTCAAGTCATCCTGTAATTCACAACATGTTAGAAAATCCTATCCTAATATAAAGTCTCTGTATCATACTTATAATACCTGCAAAGCGTCCTGTTGAGGTGATGAGGATAGAACAGTAGACAGAAGCTCAAGACTGTTTCTTGCAACATCAAAGGCTTCTTTTGTTTGTTCTGCTGACATGCTTTGAATCGGAATCTCTTGAGGAATCTGTTGTGGAGGATGAGGAATGGGATATGATTCCGAAGGTGGAATGGAACGAGGGGGTGTGAATATAGGAGCCAAGCTCTCGGAATCACGTCCAGGGAATCGTATTCCTCTTGATTTCAAACTCTGTTGTTATGTAATCAATGAATAGATAAATATACATATATATATATATAGTGATATAACCAAAATCATAAGAACATATAGATGCTTAAAAGGGTTTAATAAAACCTTGTATGTTTCTTCATAAACAGGAAGATACCGGAGCTCTTCAGTAGACTCTCCCCATGCTTCAATTAAAATTAGAGCTTTGTTTCGGTTATTGACAACAGTTTGGGGATCATCAATCATCTTCACCATTTCATCAAGCACTCTTTCTGCAGCAACTTCAGAAAAGGCCTTCTCACAGTTCTTGACTACAGTCTCGAGTAACACTAGAGTTAAGTACTGAACCCTAGCGTTCTTCAGCATGATTCTTTTCTTTATGGCACGAATCATGTCAATACTGCTGATTTTTTCATGGTTAATCATGTCACAGAGTTCAAGATTTGTAGCCCAATCAGGTTCATCTAGAGACTCGGCTGTTGCTTCCTCAACGAGATTATCAGCTTGGTTAGGACCTTGAAAGAACTCCTTCATCTTGAAACTCATGGAACTCATGCCTGCGGTAATCTTCTGGCTGACCTCAGATCCACCAATTTTGAGGCGCTCACCGAGAGCATTAACTTTGTCCATTAAGTTATCACTCATGGCTCCAACTTCCAAAACCAGAATTAAATCAGATCTCTTCAAAACCCGCAACCCTAGTTTTCAACTGTCCGCTAAATCTCAAGCAACCTACAGTAAAGTCCGATGATTTTGTTTTAAGTTGAAAGGGGAAATATCAAAGAAGGATGTAAATTGGACTACTGAAATAAGCAACTGTAAGAATCCGAGTATAAATAAAACAAACGCAACAAAGGATCGGACTTCTCAATTGAATAAACGACGATCAGTGATCAAGATATTCAAGGATGGTTACACGATTACAAGCATGGGCACTAATTAGTATCCCAATATCGACAGATGTGAAACAGCAATGAATGATCACACAAGATATTGTAAACAAATTCAATAACTATGAGAACATAAAAATCAGAAAATTAAACAGTACCTTGTGAGGTAAAATCGAAGGAAGATGGAATTGTTAGGTTGTGAATGCGTATAAAGTGGATTCGGTACTTGGTCGCAGAGAAGACTTGCAGGTGGGTCTGGTGTTTCCTTGAAGTTGCCGCAAGTCTTCTTATACCCTTGACCTTTGAAAGATGAAAATATTCTTCAAAGTTAAAACAACAGTCCTCAAACAGATGTGTGACAATCACTTTTTCACCTCTAATATCCTTTTTTGATACTTATAGTCCCTGATAATCATTCCTGACCGTAATCAGTCCCTTACTTTGAAAAAAAAAAAACTACTCATTAGATTATATCTAACCCATTTTCATTTTTTTCCTAGAAAATAAAAGAAAAAAATAAGATAAATAATGTTTCATTTCAAATTCTATTCTACTTTTACCTTAAAAATATATTTTTAGTATATTTCATTCTTCAAACTTACATAGATTGTAAAATACACCATTTCTAATAATTTGATTTTAACAAATATATAATCTATATTTTTTTCATTACAATAATATTAAATAAATAATATTATATTTATAACACACTTATAAGCTTTTTGTAAAATATATTATCGATTTTTAAATTTTCAATATGTATTTAACATTTTATATGAATTTGATGAACAAAAAACAAACTTTATATTTATAATTAGTTAATATAATTTAATATATAACAAAATATTATAAGTATTAAATATTACATTTAAATTATAATTAGTAGGTAAAAATAAACTATAAATATATAAACAGAGAAACTAAAACCGACAACATAAAATTCTTCTTTATTTTGGAAGAAATAGATAGTATGACATCGTATTTAGTGTAATATTATTCATATTCCTTAAATGGGGGAATAAATGTGAGAGTTGGAGAAAAATGAAAAAAAAAAAAAAAAAAAAAGTGAATTGGAGATGCTTTTAGAAAATCTTTAGAAAATTATTTATATTAAATTATCAAGAAAATCCTCCTTACACAAGTCTTTATATTTTGAGTTCATTAAAAAAAGAACAACAAATATCATGGTTCTAAAAAGTGTGTCATAGTACGTCTTAAGGCGTACCATGGCGCGGGGCGTGGTGTAGCCGTTACAAAAACATCAAAGGCGGGTTTGTTAAGCGTGGTGCCTAAATAACGTGTCAAGGCACGCCTTATCACGTTATGACGTGAGTTTTTTTCAAGCCGCAAGTTTTTTTGTTTTGTTTTTTTATCGGGCCTAAAATAAATGAGTTGTTATTAACTTTTTTCTATTAGATATTAATATAACACTTCTAAAAACTTCATATATTTGATAAAACTTAATAATTATATGATTTATATCTTTTAATGTATATAATATAGTCACGCATTGAAAAACGTCATGACTCGCCAATGCTTGTCATAACTTAACTTTTACCTTACCGCCAAGTCACGCCTTACGTTATTTAGAATCTTTAAAAATATTTACAAAAGAAGTAAAAAACTAACAATCATTTACACAATTAAAATTTTAGGTAGTAATCTTGGATTTAGTTGGTAATATTCATAAAAAAAATCCACCTTCGTAGCTTATTAACGATAAATCATGACTTTCATTGGCGGAGCATTATCAACCCCCCCCCCCCCCCACCAATTTTTATGCATATTATACATTTGGCCCCCCTAATCAAATGTTGAAGCTCCGTTGTGACATCCCCAAAATCACGGTAAAAAAAGACCGATTTCATTTATGCTTTTTAAAATAATTTCGGAGTAAATCCTTTTGATTTAAAAGAGTTGCGGAATTTGTTCCCAAAAACAAAATATGATAAAATAATATTTATCAAAACATTTCATGAAGAGATGATTTTCATTATATAATCAAAACTCGGGATGTCATGTTCCGATACATACCATAAAGCATAAACGATAACATTACAAGTCATTCAACAAATATATACATATACAGACTTGTAAACAAAACAACTCGGTGATTCATCCATCTTATGCCCTTACGCCACTTCCTGTAATACAAACAAAACTGAGTGGGTCAGGCTTGGGAGCCTGGTAAGCATATAGGGTTTTCAACCCAAAATAAATAAATTATATTTAATTTCACCAACCAACAATAACCCGATTACCCATTCCCGTTATCCTCACTTTACGTCCCTAAAACAACATTTATCTCAAGGGACCTAATCTAGGATTTTCATCGGAACGGACATTACTGCTAAGGGGTTTCCTCAACAATAGATATCCTAAAGGCAACCATGAGGGGGATAGAGTACACCGGTGAACACATCGTTCACAACACCTACAGGTTATGAACATGCTAGCGTTCCACAAGACTGACTAGAAGGAGTATGTGGTCGTTATCCATACTCCGCTGAATAACTAGGTCAACAACAACAACATCGAGGCCTCTTATCTATTTATCACACATCAACTATCTACCCATGTTCTACCCAACATATTAGTAGATAAAAATATATATATTTTTATACATAGTTTAAAACCTGTATAGCATGTTCAATCAATACATATTCCGCATAACATATGAGGCACACACACATAACACATATTTCATAGAGAATAAATCGGATATATGAGATAGAAGAAAGTGAATATACATTCACGCATATAACAACCAAAAATACACATAACACGTATTTCGCATAAAATACTTCATAATTATGCGTTAGAAGAAGGTAACTACACACTCGCTTGATCAGAAGATGATCGGACAGCACTACAACTTTCAGAAGTAGTATTCTTCAGTAGATTTGGAAGATCTTCACAAAAACCGAGCTCCTTGCGGGCAGAGCTTCGGCTCGGGAATAACGCTCTTCGGGATCCTCGGGGCTTCGGATCTTGCTTCGGGGCTCAGGAATAATATCAGGGCTTCAGGGCATAACTGGCATGCAAATCGAGGCAAAAACTAGAGAGAAATGAGAGAATTTTGTAAAAGAAAAGAGCTGCCCTTGCATACCTTTTTATAGGAGGCTGAGCCTCACAGTACGCTGCGCGTACTGCTTTACACGGGGCGTACGCCTCCGAAATTGTCATTGCATGCGTCATCCGAAGAACTCGAGTGTGAGGCGTGTCATGCTTCGCTGTACGTTGGGCGTAACCCGGATAAGTCCGGTGACTCCCCTTCGGATAATATCAGATTTATTAATTAAATTTAAATTTAAATTATTTAATAAACTTCGAAAATTCATATATTCTTCATACGAACTCCATTTTTGACGTTCTTTATATCCACGCGTAGGTGAGACTACGCTCTACAACTTTCATTTAGACTCCGTCGGCTAATTTTGAATTTATTTTTATTATTTATTTTTAGTAGGCCGGGACATGAAAACTCCGTTATAAGATCATAGCTTCTTCATCCGACATTCGTTTTCGTCTGACTTTTCACCAATGCGCTACTATCAATGAGATCTTCGATTCTCATTTAGATTATTTCAACCAAAAATCACTCGATCTCGAATCGAGTATTCGGGCTGCATATTGCTAAGTCGAAACTTCAGAAAATCATAACTTCCTCATACGAAGTCAGATTTGGGCGTTCTTTTTATGCACGCTCTTGGTTTAACGAACTCTACGACTTTCGTTTAGATTACTAAGGCTAAATATCGCTCTAACGTAAATTTCACTTTTTACGTCATTCAGCGTTGTCGGTTCTGTCGCAAAACTTCGACAGGTCATAACTTCTTCGTTATGGATATGTTTGGCGATAAATTTGATCGATATGTGCAACTTCAAGAAACGAAGGCCGAGGTGATGAATCAGATGGAACAAAAAATGATCGAAACACAATCATCATTTCAAGAAGCACTAGAGACACTCCAAACAAAAACCGATATGAAAATCTTGAAAATGAAAGCGGACGACCTTGAGGGCGAAGACTTGGAACTTTTCCAAGCAATGAAAGACTCGGTTCGAGGCCGACGTAGGCGTAGGTCGTAGTTTATTTTATTTATGGTTGGAATTTTTAGTTTTTTTTAATGTTTTTTTTTTAATTTTTTTTAATATAACTAATGTAATTTTTATTTTGATTGTTATTTTTATCTCTTTTTTTTATTTCAATTAATGTAGTTTTTATTTAATGTAATTTTGTATTTTAATTTAATGGAAAAACTAGTATTAAAAAAATGATTTTAATGTATTTTTGAATTAAAAATAAACAAAAAATAATGATGTAGAGTGGTGTGTTAGTGGTAGGTATCCCATGTTATTGGTAGTGGAATGTGGTGCTGATGTGACTCTCACCACATATGTGGTATGTAGTGGGTATACCGGATGATCTAAGTTATAAAAGATGAAAGTTTTGAAAGTTACAAAACTTGCCCGCAAGTTTTGGAACATATAAAGTCACTTTAAAAAAACTTTAGTTTCAACCCCTTGAATTTTAAAAGTTAAAATCCAACCCTTATACTTTATAATATTATAACTTTATATATATATATATATATATATATATATATATATATATATATATATATATATATATATATATATATATATATATGCATAAGAACAAGTTGTTTTACCGTTAGTAGATCTCATTCACGAAGCCGGTCTATAAGGGGGATATAAGGTTGTTGTCTATAAAATGGCAGCTTAATGAGT